CAATCAGCCTCTACAATATATTATAAACAGACGTGGTTTGCATACAGATATACCGGACCTACTCACACCATAAAATGAAAAAATAATAATTATACATTAAAAAAGGCCAAAAGTGGCTATGAATAGGGAAGACTGTAAGTAATAGACAGGCAACAAATCAGGAATAGTAAGTCGTGTGATAGTAGTTAATGGGTTAACAAAAAGCTTTTGATAAACAGAATACATAGACATGATAATCTATTCACTCAGTAATTATACAATACGAATATAAATAACAACACATAAATTAGTTGTCGGAGTTACCATTCCTTCAATCTTCGTTCTGATATCATAACTTGTTTTTATCATGTATGTAATTTTAGAAAAAACTGATTGATTGATGCAGTAACGAATTGTAATGAGTTCAGATAACGATTGTCAATAAAACTGAACTTGGTAACCTTTACATTCGAATGATGACTGTCAGTATAAACCACAAATAAATAATATTATAACAAGTGAGAATCATTTACTATTCGCATATTATACTGTAAGGGAACTATTATTTTTGTAACAAAATATGTAACGTAACATAGATTGGATAGGAGTTATCCTTCAAATACAAAGTAGCACATAGAATCTATCTTCGTTGGCAGTATTCGAGGGGTAATGGACGGTAATATTATGATCATAATCTATATCGTGAAGATAGTATTCTTCGCACAAGTATTTTTAAGTTATTTCTCGTCGGGTGACTAATTACTTGAGTCCATTTTCTTTGGATTTCCAGTGTTTTAAGAAAAGAATGCTGAACACACGCATTCGGAGGGCACTTCTGCTAGGGTAGAGAAATACTTGATTAGGAATATCAATGGTCATTAAGCAACCAATCACTTTCCACAGTGTAGCCTAAACTCCCGACTATTTTATTATTGCAAGCCATAAAAAAGCTTTAAACTATGTATTTTGTTAAATTAACGCCTCCTTGTTTTTTTTACCTAACTTAAAAAAAACTAATAACCACAGTTCGCTGAATTTCCTAAACCAATATTGAAATTAACGAAGTTGGAGTTCTTAGATTTAAGTAGTAATCATTTGGAAACTTTACCATCATCTATAACTGAATTAATCAATTTAGAAAGTTTATTATTATTCGACAATCGTTTGACCAGTTTACCAGAGGATATTGGTGAATTACGAAATATAAGATGTTTATGGTTGGGTGATAACAGACTGGAAAGTTTGCCACAATCAATTGTTGAACTACGTGGATTGATATGGTCACCATTATTATCACCAAGTACAACAGTTGGTGGAAACCCTTTAAAAGATCCACCGATTAAAGTAAGTGTTTTTACTGAATTCCTATTAAGTATTTCTGTATAATGAGTGAGATATGTACACTTTCCTGATGTTCACATGATAGTACAATATTTTTTTGAAGGAATATGAACTACATATTAGATGATGTAGCAGTATTCAAGGGGAAACTGCTTGAAACCGGTCAAAACACTATCATATGTTCCTAAACCTTATAGAACCCAAAATTCGTAGAACAATGTAATATATTTATGCTTTTCGTGGTCAGGGAAGATTTAGTAAACTACCTCCGACATTCAAATCTCTTCTTTATTACTTGGATATCTACTTTCTGATTATTTACACATTTCACCTTATAGTGTTGTATAATTTTCGATGACAATGGTCGTCTTTAATAAGTTTTTCCTGCAAATTTCAACCTCCCTTATCACAATACTTACAGCTATTTCTTTTATTTATTATTAGTTGTATAGTCTACATAACCGTTATTACCGATGGATGACATTATTAAAAAAAAAATTTTGCTCCTCTGAACAATTTCATTAAACCTTGAAACTAATCACACTTATATAGGTACATCCAGACATTTATCCTAGTAAAAAAACGATGTTTAACTTCTGAAATGAAGATGAGTATGTTGTGGAAATTTACCGTTTCATCTGTAACGAAGATAATTTTTAGGAATCTGTCAACTTTATTTTTAGTATTTTCAATATTTAAAGCTAAGGTTATTGATAATGAGATAACTGGGAGTTAGGTTAGATGAATTTATGCTCATATATATTGTACATGTAACATAATGTTTTAAGAAATAAAGATTTCCACTCGAATGTATGATATCGCAGAGAAGTACTATCCAGATTTATTTGAAATACTATGACTTTAAACAATGATGTACCAACAAAAATTTATCATTATATTTCAGGTGTGCAGTGCAGGACTAGAAGAACTGGATAGATATTTCGGTGTGGAAATAATTAAATGAATCTACGCGTGCAAACAAAAAGAATTCTGTAACAATTATACACCATAAATGACTAGCACTTATCTAGACAAAATTCATTTCTCAGTTGAACATGATAAACAATTTGTTGATATTTTCAATGATATATATATACTACTCACTTGTCGAAATTATGCTTACTAACAAGACTATGAATACGCACTGAATAGCAATCTAGCTAAATTTCGCATATCTCACTAGACGAGTTTTTGATGACTACACCATAATAGTCAGTAGCTTTGTGTAACGACGTAAGTTTGGATTGAGTCAATAGGAACATAAGTTATTCTGTGTGGTGTTTCATCATAAGTAATCTACCATGAATTTTAGAGATGACATGACATTTGCAAACTAAGCACCCAACAAAAAACCTATTAATGTATGAATTAAGATAAGAACATTTCAAACTAATATCATATTGGATGTAAAGTATTTCCTTCAATGAGATTGAAAGCATAGGTTTGCCTATGTTTTCTGTTTGACACATAAGGGAAGAATGAAGATGTGACATTATTGCCTTTGACACAATTATGCAGTTCCGAATAGGGTTACGAGTTGAACAACTTTTCTTTGCAGTTTTCGAACTATTTTTGCTAGTCAAATGTACAAAAGACACTCTGAACTTGTGTTATTGAGTGACACAGTATTTCTCCACATAACTCTTCAAATTATACCAAAAAAGTATTGATTTTAGATGCAAGTTTGTGGACTGTTAAAAATATTGAATTGATTGACGTTAGATATGATAATTTATTGGTAATTATGATACGTTTAAGCGACTTTAGAACTATTTTAATTAGCCATTAATATATATTTTTAAATACCTATAACTTTTGGCTATTTCCCGATAATTTACGTAAATACAATTTACAAAAAAATATTTTGTTTTGTATTCTTGTTTTCTTAAACTTCTCAAGTTCACATGATGACAGAAGCTTAAGAAGCGAGATATAGAACTCACTCATTTGCATAATCATATAAATTAGACAAAATGATTAGTTCCAACCAGTATAAAAAATGACATCTTACAAACTCTTTTATTTTACAAGTAGTTAAATTGGCAAAAAAATAAAATCCATAATTACACACCACACCCGTTGTAAGTACTAAGTCCATTTAAGAGATGGGTTAGGAATTTAATTTACTACTTAGTTATGATATACAATAATTTGTACAACTACACCATACATAACAATCCTTCCAACTGAAATCACGAACCAATCTGAGTCAGACCACTATCGAGAACTTAGAAGCACTGGACGATGTTTCGTCCTAGTCTGGAACTCCTCGGTGGTGCACATCCACGACGCTGAACGTGAGACACGAACCCGGGACCTTTGGTCTCGAGCGAGTGCTTAACCCTAGAACACTGAGCCGGCAGCCAACAGTGTTAATGTCAATCAATCCATGATATTGCTTGACTATCTTTCATTGTCTTCGGTGGGTAAATGACTCACACCCGACACGCACTGGGCACGACTTATCACTAAAATCGAGGAAATTTCCTCTCAGAACTAGCCATTGGTGAGCACAAAATCGTGGATATGCACTGCTGAGGTGTCTCATACTACAATGAAACGGCCATCCAGTCCTTCCAGGTTATTAATGGTGGTCTAAATTAGATCGGTTCACGATTTTAATCAAATTCAATAATCTCCACAACCCCATAATTAAACATATTTATCAAGAAATATTTAGCTTTGGTATGGTTTGCATGATTTTTATAATAGCAAGCCAGTACATCAGGCAACAATTTTATTTTATTAATTACTTAAGAGAAATTCAAAAAATGAGAATTTCGTCGAAATATTTCCAATTGAAATATAGTTGGCCTACAGGTTTCTCTTTGGGATATCAAACAAGGAGTAATCTATCGACTAAAATACCAGTCAACTGTTTTATTTTCTAGACAAAAAGTATGAGATAAAAGGAAAGAGGATAATTTGTAAAAAACAAATTGATTTAATTCGAAAAATCCCTAGAACAAATACAGTATATATAGTATACATGTACATAAGTAGGTAGGTAGTATAAGACAAATGTTCGACGTACAATAAAAAAAGTTTAAAAAAGAAACAAAAAAAAAAGAAACTGGTTCTTCCCTATGTGTACACACTAAAAGAAAAAAATGTTAGAGATATTTACAGTCAAGTAAACTATTAAAATATTATGTAAGGCACAGGTGAATTATTTGTGCGTTTATTTTTTCATGTACATATATATATATATATATAACAATTGTTCAACCAGAACACTTTTAACTAGGCCAGTAAGAATACTATTGTAGTACTTAAAATGATGGAATGTTTAAGGTATAAACAAAGTTGTAAAATGCATCTAATCAATTATTCGGACAAAATAAATAGGTGAAGCATTGAGGAAAGAAGGAAAACAAAGTGGGGAGAGAACATTTAATAAAAAAAACACAAGACAAATTGGCACGATAACACCCTAATAAAAGGCTTAAAATCAGAGTGGTAAACAGCCACTATGCATAAGCCTTTAAAAACCTGGATAGCAAAACAAGTCAAGGCTGTTATTAATCGCGGTAATATTAGTCGTTATACAAACAGATTTAGTTCTAGTCGGTAAATGCACTAAGTTTATTTACAAATACTTAGCAAAGAAAGAAAATGAACCAACCAAACTAGTTTTTAAATGTTGATCGTAGAAAAAAGCAAGGAAGGAAATAGTGTTGACTGAAAGCAATTCTTTTTCTATAACCAACTTGACAAAATGCTCTTTAAGAAATTGGGAATAGACTATAACTACTACTGTTATGTGGTGAATTATGGCTAGCTGATGGTGAAGGACTGCTACTACCAGATGATTGCACAAAGGATTGTTGTTGAAGTCGACAAGAAGTATCCACACTAGTACCTTTTGGTATTAACCGCATGGTTGTAGCAATATTGGTTATTTTTAGGTTAGTTGACAATTGTCCAGGGTCGAATCTCTTTGAATCCATTGGAGACGATGAAGTAAGCTCACCGGGAACAGGTAAAGACCTGCGTAGAGAAAAGAGATGAGAGGAATTATTCGAATAACCCTGATCCCCAAAAAAGACTAGATCTATATCACGTTGTGATGGGGCACTACGACTGAGATTAGATGTATTGAAACACCTAGATGATGAAATGAGACAACCCTGAAATTTGTCACTTTTTATGTAGCTTCTGTTTAAGCTTTCATTGCTATGTGAGCGCAATAAATTAACAGGTAGACTAGGTTTTCGACAACATGAAAGAAATTTTGAACAAGCTGTGGGGGAAACCTGGCTTTTAAATGATTCATTCCCAACAACATTCGCATTACACTTCTGCAGCTGTTCGTATTCAAGCTTTGGTTCTTGAGATATTGGGGTGGAAGGACTAAGCTCTCTCACTCTAGATGAACTAGTTGATGGCAAGTTACTTGGTAAACGAAATGCTCCATGTGCATGCAAAATACTACGGTAAACTGGATGACTTCCGTCGGTAGATACTGGCCTTGGGGTCGGTGGTGCGCTTGCATGTGAAGAAAGACGACGCTGAGCAAGCAAAGTTGGTCTTGCGGTACCAACTGTCGATGATGAACGACGAAGTCTAAGAATACTAGCTGGTGAAAGTGTAGCGGTTAATTGGATGGGATGTGGTGGCATAACAGTTGAGCATGGTTCAAATTTCAAAGTTTGTAAACTCGTATAAGATGAAAGAAAAGGTTTGAATTTAAGCATCTGTATGGCAGATTCAGGACCCGGAAGCACATGTCCAGGAACAAAAGACGATGGAGCACGAGAAACAGACAGTAAAGATCGATACTCTTCTAAGGGTGAAGATATCTCTAGCTTAGACAAACCAGTGCAAGGAGACGGTAATAATGGATTGGAAGATTGAGTAGGTGACAATAACGCTGAGACTCTGCTACGTTTTTCTTCAGTTGGGCTTATTCCAGACTCAGGAATTGGTCTAACCGACCCCCACAGTGTAGCGAACTTTTTCCAACAGATCCTTCTAAAACTCCTGCAAAAGATGAAGTAGCCTCCAAACCAAGGTATGTTGGTCTTTCCCGTTTCTTAGATAACACCTTCGGAGACGTTGGAGTTAAATTTAGTGATAATGATGACGAATGAAGACCAGACTTTAACATAGAAGAGCTTTGCACCTCTGCGGACATGCTTAGAATTGAACACAAACTAGCAGGGCTGTCAAAAGTCGGAGTGCTATCGATTGGAATAGAAGCTTCACTACAACCAGAATCATGAAGTTGATGCTCAAACTCCAACAACTGTCCAAGAAAATTAAAATTAGGAGCAACGCTGTTTCGTCCAGATTTAACAACACTAGAAAATCGATAGAAATGTTAACAATTAAGCAACGGGAGACAATAAATTTAACTTCATTATTATACAATTACATAAACTACTCCTAACTTGACAAGCATAATGGGGTTGTATTATACAAAAAAAAGTTAAATCTGTATACAATTTGAAATTCTTTCCTAATTCAGCAAACGTAAAAAACAAACTGTGGCTAAATTGATAAGTTTACGCACAAAGATAAAGTAAATACTATCTATTAAAAAATGACAAACATTTTGTAAATATTATATCTAATTTACAAAAAAAGGTTGAAAAGTGTATATCTTTACTAAGGAAGAAAAGCAACCTGACAGGTATCGAGGTTTAAAGTTAACTATCCCGCAAAAAAGAACGGTGTTTCAAAATAATGCGTTTTAACACTGAACGACCATAAAAATTTAGTTCATTGAAATATTCTTTCCTAAATTTACATTTTCACTTCATCCAAGATAACACTTTAGTGTAAGGAGCAGCCAACATTGAGTAACACAGCTAACAATTTTAACCGCTGCAATTGTCAAATTCTATAAACTAACTTACCCTATCAATGCAAAACTACGTACAGAACTTAAACAATAATTCACCAATGATCTCATCGCACAACACGCACTGGAAATAGAAACTACTATTGAGAGGCAGGCCCGTCTTCTAAAAGGTAATCAACATAGTTAACATCACGAACAACTTATTTTGATGGTTACCAAGGGAACGTATACGTATTTGTATCAAAATTGTGTGCATTATCAATCTATAAGAACTGCTACGACACTCCTCTTAGCGTAGAAACAATTTGAATCTTTTAATTTACTTATTATAACTATGTAAAGGCACATAAAATCCATCTAACATACGTAGTGATTATTTTTAACTTGCCTATCAAGATCATCTGGTATTTCGATAATGAAGACAAAATTTAGACGCCCTCTACAAGATGACTTGATAAACGTACAAATTATTAGCTTTTTATCACAAGTAAAATTTGTTAATGGCAACCTAGAGCTTTACATTATTTTTCTATCAAACAACTACTGATTATTACGAGATAAAATGAGTAGAAAAGTAATTTCTACTGAATAAATGGATGGTATGAATCGATGAATGCTATAATACATCAACAGAAAAACTACACATCATACTAGTAATGTCGTACAAATAGATTTAGAAGAAAGATAATACTATACTACTTCGATAACATTAAGTTAGTCACGAAACTTTTTAAAAATAATATCATTCAGTCAGCACAAAAAAACTAAGACATCCTTTTGCATACAAAATTAAAACTCAACAAAGATGTTAGGTACGCAAGTATACAACAAACTAAAATAGAAGTAAACCATCTAAATTAAACTTACTCGTATGCTTCATGCATTTTCATTCGACATGAATACATAAGATAGGCAATTGCTAGAGTAGGTGACCGAGATATTCCAGCTGAACAATGAATCAAAACTCGTCCATGGGCTGCTTTAGCAGACTCTGCAAATAAACCGTTTTGAAAAAAATATCGTTACAATGCATTATACTAGTATCCTTTGAAACTGATCGTTTTATAAGTAGCACATATAATTAGTTCTTAAAGTCAAAACAAACTTAAACACGCTACAGAAGGGAATTAGGGCCGCGAAAGGACGAGAGGTTGGACGTATCATTTTTGCACGCAGAGTTCCGGTTTGGATTGATGTATCGTCGACGCCTCAGCCAATAATTGAGAGGTTTCATTTACATAAGATATACTGACAATACCTTCATTGTTTGTGAAAAAGATATGGACCCCAATGAGATTTTGAACCGATTCAATTATCGTTGCCGCTTAACTCAATTCACATTGGAAGCGGAGGCGAATGAGGAATTTCATGTTCTTGATATCCAGCTGAAAAAATAGGGTGGTTCTTTACAGAGATGTGCATAGAAAACCGACCTGGAATGGTCAATATACGAATTTCCACAGGTGGGTCCCACTGAGTAGAAAGAGAAACCTAATTCACTCTATATCCTCAAGGATTAGGAGAATATGTTCTGATGACACAATAAATGACGAACTACTTCAACTTCGACAGACACTCATAAAACTGGTTATCCACCTAGATTCTTCGATAGGAACTTAACATCTATACAACATCCTGAGAAAGCACCAACGGTTCAAAATTAAACTCGTTTTATGATAATCGAACTTGAAGGAAATACGGCCGCTGAAATCTTAAATAAATGGATCTCAAAAGCTCTGAATAATACCTCATACATAGCTAAGCTCCTCATTGCCTTCTCAAGCCTGCCTACTATTTACGGATGCGTTAAGGGTAAACTTACGCTTTGTGCCACATCGATGTGCATCTATAAATTTATTTGCTTTTGTGGGGCAGGTTACATCGACAGCACAAAGTGATCACTTTCTAAACGCACCTCAGAACATTACCCGGTGTAGTTTTTAAAAGAACGCAAAACAATTACCAGTTCAATGCAGTAGAATCTAATCGACTTTGGACACGTCGCTCCGAAGGAGTCTTACTTTAAAATAATCTACACAATTAATGAACTGGGTAGAGGGGAGGTCGAATCAAAAACTTATGTACTGCTCAAGCGTCGGCGATCCACCAATTCAAGTCCGAATTCCGCGTGCAAAAGCGACACGTCAAACCTCACATCCTTCCTTAGCCTAATTCCCTTCCGTAGTATGTTTTAGTTTTCCTTAACTAGTATTTTATATATCGGATTCCTGGTCCAAAACGAGAAATGTGACCAGATCACCAGTCACTTTGGTTGTGAGCAACGCCTTACAAAGTCCTACGGTTTATAGAACCCCTAACTAGGTAGCAGTGATCCGGCAACAGATACTGACACAATACAACTACTATTTTCTCTGCGGTTACATACCATAAACTGGTTACCCCTCCATTTCCTAAACTTAGCAGCATTTAATATTCGAATTCGAATTCCAGAATATGTAAAATCAAAAGTGTTTCAAATGAATTATCTGACTAAATAAGGGTCTGTATTATTTCTCACTTTATCATCGCTTATATCGTGTTGTCATCGGGATCGAGTAGGGGTTCAGAAGAAAAGGTAAGGTTTAAAAAGCTATAGCTCTCTTAGAATATAAATTCTGTCTGCCACAATAGTATTATCTTACACATCGAAATAAATACTCAAATCCAACTACCTCTATTGACCAACCACTAAGGATGAGAAGGGGTACAAACTACTGTAAAATTTATGAAAGTACTTATAACAAAGTAAACAGGAGAATGGTAAGGACAAAAGCAACATGAGATAGTAGCTTTCGAGTTTCCAGTCATTCAGTCAGCTACAACGTAGGACCAGGCACATCTATGCATCGAGTTTTACTCACTAGCTAAAGTATGTCTTATAAACAGCTCTAAGCAAACTGTTGTGATAAACGTAAGCTAAGATATTGGTATTTACTTATTAGACTAAAACAATGTACAACCATATTAAAAAATGTCAGGAAAAATATCTTATTTTATGAATCTCAACATATATATTACATCATTATATTCGTTATGATTATTGGAAACTATAATGATGGTTATTATCTCGGAAACTCAAAGACCAACCCACAATGGGTGGACCAATGTTTAAACATACAACTTACATCAGCTGATATTTGGATGCCTAAGCCAATAAACTAGAGCTCCACAGTTAGCAACATACCATTTACCATTCTTTTTAATAGTTACTAAGTTGTTAAATTGTACGCACAAAAATAATAAGCAACATAGTTTTTTAAGTTAGTTTTCATTAAGGATAAAGACATAAACAATTAAAGAATTACCAATAAATGCAAAAGCATCTTTGAAGTATGGTGTCATGAGATCAGTATAATTGTCGTTCACAGGAATTCGATAAAAATTTTGACTGGGAATATGTGAAGGAATACTGCCTTCAAGAGATACATTAAGAATATGAGTAATTCCATAACGTTTACAAATAGTTGAAGAATTAGCATCTTCCTGACTTCCTAGTATTAAATGTGGCAGAATTGGAGACGGACGAGTTAATGTACTACCAGTATTATCAACTTTCATTTCTATAATCGATCTTGAACGATTATCCACAGGTACATCAGGACTAAAATTATTTGAAAATAAAGTGATAAAAAGCATTGTTTGTTTTCGTTGATAAAACTAAAACCATGGAAGTCAAAATGATTAAAACTGATGTTGAGTTTCCTGGCTGATATAAATTTACTGTTAACTGAAAATACATTTTTTCGAATGAACTAACGTATATTCTCAAAACCAAAAAAAACTTAATACGTCTGATGCTATGGAATTTCAATGTTTTGCGATTAATGCACATAACTTAAAAGCAGCAAGTACTTTAGAGACGATTTCTGCACACAGTATGGAGACACGGTTGAAAAAAGTATTGGTGGCGCAGGTCTTACTAAATCGATTGACAAATTCCCTGATAAGATATGAAAAGAGATGTAAGAAAATCGAAATACCAAAAGTATAAAAGATACAACAATATAAATTTTAAAGAAAATGGTTGAATACCGGGAGGGCAATGGAACGTATGCATAGAACGAAATATTTTGGTACATAAAGCCGATGATTTAGATTATCTCCGGTTTATTCATACTGACAGTTTCAAGATGTAATCTGGATGAAACTAGTAATTATACATTTCATTCCTTGAAGATATGGTTTTTTATTTCATCACAGTTCTTCTCAATGTGATCAAGTGGATGGAAATGGAAATCAGAAAGGATTCTATTAATAACAAACTCGACTGCTCCGTCAGTACTTTAGATCTCATTGAGCCCCAGAAATATCAGATTACACCGAACCTATAACGGAGAAGAGCCATTACTATGTAGAAAAGTAATATTGACTAATTTACTCATTAAAATAAGTAACGATAAGGATCAAAACCTGAAGTAGAGAGGTTTTCAACTCATTAATCGACAGACTAAAATGTTGATTCATAAATTAACTACTTAATATTGCCTAATATTTTGGTATTCTGAGTAGTATGATTATCAGATAGGTATGTATAACTGAAACGTAGTGGTTCGTATGATGCGAATTCGCCACTTAATCTAATCTCTTACACCCAACCAATAATTTGGTGATCTAGTTTGATGCAATCGATCACGTGATTTCGGCCCAAACTAAAATAATAGATAAAACACTAACTGTTGTGTCATTAAAGAGTCTTGAGAAGCTAAAATATTATACTCCAACTAAATTTTTCGTAAAATAAATGGTTGGGTTGACAAGAAATTGACATGGTTATCAAAAATAAGAGATTGCATGGAAAAAGAGACAAATGTTGCATAATTTTCAGTGAAAGAGAATGAAGATCTGTATTATTAAGAGCATACAAATGGCCGGCATTTTGGTCTGTTTAATAAGGCCTGAAATGCTTTTATAAACAAATAAAAAAATCCATATTATTGTTTATAATAAGATCGTTAATCGAAATTAATGGTTGAACGAAATTTTCAGCACAGTAAAAATTTGCTGATCTAGAAACAAATGGAGGTACAAAACAGAGGTTATACCTTAATGTTCTGGAAATCCCACCTGGAAACTGTTCCTTCGATGGAATTTGAAAAGAAGATGGAGTAGACTTCGATGAAATTGAAGATATTGATGAAATAGAAGCTGGATGAGTGGTCGTAGCCGATGCAGATAAAATGTCATATTCGGATGCCGAAATTTCAGAAAAGTCACTAGAAGATGAATAACCTAAGCAGGCATCTAGTATTTGTTCTAATCGGCAGTCACACTGGTGATATTCAGCAAAATCTTCACCCGCAACTTTTTCTGTATTAATCCAGCATAATTCTGGATATGATGCTTGAAACCCCAAAAATCCTCCTATGTAATGGGATGAGAGAATACAAATTATATTAATATTTATTTTAACACATAGATATTGGTACAAGGAAGCACCAAATACATATTCGCCACACAAATCTCATTCGATATGTGTAAGGGCTGTGATAATGCTCGGGTGCCCAGACCGAAGCAGGTGGTTTTCTTAGGGAGCCACACCCCGAACCTTTGACCTGGAGGTCTGACCCACAAGGCAGTGGAGCATCGTGAGGAGATGCAGTCCCATGGTAGCCAGTGACCAACGACTGGTTCATACGCCATTTGTTCCCTCAGGATACTGGAGCCCATGTGCACCAGTGGTTTGGGATCCGATTAAAGCGCCGGACATTCGCTTTTCGTCCTCTCATTTTCGTAAACAACACCCGCTCCACGAGAAGGCAGTGAGTAGGACTTCCCTGGCAGAGGCTATATACGCGTGGCCATGTGAGAGCATTTCGAGGGAAGAACAGACCCTCCCCACTCTCGGCCGTGCCAGGGCATTTAGGTACTGTATCTGCAACAGAAAATCAGTCAGTCAGTCAGTAACAACGTAGAACTTTGTATGTACGTACATCAGTTCGAGTTGCCACACCACATTAGCATAGAGATGCAGTGGTCGATTCAAATCCCGTAATAGTAGAGGTAATAAGTATACAAGCAGTAATCGGGAAGATTGGTGTTTGGAGATGTTACTTAAAGAGTATAATACAGTGAAATAAATTTGAGAGGAGAAAAATAAGACAAGGAGGAATAAGGAGATCAAAATTTGGGAGAACACAAAGAGTGTATGCACCTGCGCCATTGCAAACGATTTTGAGCCATGTCATTCAGGGTCTCTAACCATCGGTTGTTATCATCTCGCGGTTCCCAACCAGGTAGTCTGCACCTACCGACATGACTCAGTCCACTTGTCAGTGACTTCATGGACTTGTGCCATGTTTTGGTCTGGCCGCCCAAAAAATACAAATGTTTGATTTAAAACTACTCCACCAATAGTTATGATTACCAGATAGAATAGATCCAGCTACACAATAATGGTGTTCATGTGGACCGAAAAAAATACCGACGTAGTTTCTGACAAGAGGCGAAGAAACCAAGTACTTATCACGTTTAATATTTTCTTCATACCTTATTACTAGATATCACGACCGGGAAAGGTTATACTACGTAATGATAGTCAGTAAAAGCGTACATACATCCCAGAAACTTATGCAATAGATACCTGAAGAAAAACAAATCTAAAAATTGTTGTTTTACTCACCTTTAAGGAGAAAGACGACTGGAAATTTCAGAGTCAATTGCGTCAATAAAGAAAACAAGAAGCACCCAGGTATTAGGTTCAATACAGAATCGATAAACTCATCGTAGACAACAATTGGTAACTTTCTTAACTCTGTAGGGTTTTCCAAGTTTGTCAGTTTACATAAAAGTAAATCTAACGGGACCTTTATTCGAAAATGTCTGGATATGCGTAAACTACCAACCTGATTTTGAGAAAACTTTCTCTGAAATGCCCTGTTACCACCTATATTTATAGCAGTATGTATGTGACTGGTATTATATACCATAAACGAACGCGAATCCAGTAAGATAACCTACACTAATAAATAAGTTATCGCAAATACCTTTTGATTGAGTCGTATTGCTTCATAGATACTGGACGCTTCTGTATATATCACCTTTCTTTCCAATGCACCTAGGGCATCCATGGAAAGAGCAGGGGGAAAGTTGTCAAAGTGCCATATCCCAGAACAAGGTGTATTTTTTCAAATGCACTACCCCCGACCCATTCAAACACCGCGGGCTAGAGTACATGGAATCACTCGGTTATAAAAAAAATAGTAGGTCATTTAAGCTGCAATAATCCTCACATTCAGTATTTCTGTGAAGGTCCAGCTTTTCCATAAAATTCTTCACTGATTATCTTAAAATTATTTGTTTTTGTAAGGCATTCCAGTAGCTGACCACTCGGTGCGATAAATTGGATCACCTCAAGTTGTTTGATCTTTTCTGACGAATTCACAAGTGATAAATCGTGAAGGCAGCAAAAAACGAGACGTTTTAAGATCCCAATAATTAACTGAATTATGTGGTGCCAATCCAAGATTTTTAAGTGTTATTCATTAACGAGAATATATTTACTCAGTGGTCGCTCTTCATGGGTAAGATTTGAAGGACCTGTCATCGAAATTGTTCTGGTTTATTCGACACGAATAAATATTTACTAATCTCTGGTAGAATACGAAATGGCTAACTTCATATAGTGGTCTCACATACGTGGATATGAAATCGGAATCATCTCTTCGTTGGATACTCTACAAAATGACATCGGCAGGCAAAAAATTTCAGCAGTAGTTACATAGCACTGTGCAGCTTTTTAATTCATAGCTTGAAGATAATCAAAAATCCCTCTCTTCCTGAACTTTGGGATGTGGAGTTTTTCCTGTGACCATGCTATTTATAAATGTTCACAATTTTTAGCGTTCTCAGTTCAGGACCGATGGTCTCACGCAAAAAGCAGTGGTATCTGTTTTGTCTGTCTTAGACGAGGACATAAGGTTAACGAATGTAAGATGACAAAACGCTGTAACGTTGATAGTTGTGAGAAGAGACATCACTCCCTGCTGCACACCGACTCGACAAGCAACGACGTAAATGATAAGCCTAGTTGTGGATTTACTAAATCCCTAAGTAGTCAAGTGTGCTTAGGAATGATTCCCGTACGGTTGATGTTGGGAGATGCCGAAATTGTGGGTTATGCTTTGTTGGATAACGGTTCTGATGTATATTCTTTAGATCGGTCTGAACATGTTATGACTGAAGGAGCTCTGGCAGGTATACCAGGTCATAAGCCAACGAAGTCGGCAGTGAACAACCTAGTTAGGTGGCCGTATTTAAGGGATGTACCAATAGATAGCCTAGATTCTGAAGAAGTTTTACTGTTGATTGTTTGTGACGTGCCAGAAGCACATTGGGTGTTAGACCAGCGGTTGGGTGGAAGGAAGAACCCGTACGCTGTGAAAACGTTGCTGGGGTGGACTGTCTTTGGACCTGCATCATACCCAGAATATAGGAAAATAGTTGTCAATCATACCAGTAGAGTACAGACTTGGAGAACAAAATACGTAAGCTTCATGTTGTAGAGTTTTCTGATGTTTACTAAAGTGATAAATCAGTGTCAGTAGAAGACAAGGCGGCTATAAGGATTTTGGAAGGGGGCACGCGCTTTGACAATGGTCATTTTGTGGTTCCTATACCATGGAAAAGGAATCCAAATATGAAAGTGGAGAATTATGTAGTAGCAAACAGTAGATTACAGAGTTTGAGGCGTAAGTTTTTGAAGGATGACAGTCTGCACATCAGGCATACCAAAAGTATTGAAAGTAATTTTACAAAGGGCTATGCGGAGAAGGTCCCTGAAATACAATTGCAACCTAATTATCGTCCCCGGTGGTATTTACCTCATCATGCAGTGTTAAATCCGAAAAAACCAGAAAAACTTAGAGTGGTCCTTGATTGTGCAGCCAATTTTGCAGGTGTTTCCCTAAATGATATGATTTATCAAGGACCCGACACCACTGCTGAGCTAGTGTGTATATTATTGCGTTCTCGTAAGGAAGCGGTTGCAATCTCTGCAGATGTTGAGGAAATGTTCATGCAAGTGAAGGCTCCTGAGTCTGATCGAGGAGCTTTAAGATTTCTGTGGTGGCAGGAGGGAGACATGTCGAGGGAACCATCCGAATTTCAAATGACATCTCATCCATTTGGTGCCACATCATTGCCGTTTTGTGCGAACTTTGCCTTGAATAAGACGGCCCAAACATTCTCTGACGGTTATGATGATTATGTTGTAGATGCTGTCAAGAATAATTTCTATGCTGACGATTGCTTGATATCTTTTTCCACTTGTGATCAAGCAAAGAGTTTCATTAAGCAGACAAGTGAATTATTATGTAGAGGAGGTTTTAAACTAAAAAAATGGGTCACCAACTCGGGGGAAGTAAGGACCATCTTGCCTGATGTATTTAAAGGAGAGCCTTTGATAGAAATGTCAACGAGCTACAATACCACTCATCGAAATCTAGGCATAGGATGGGATTTCAAACAAGATGTTTTTAGGTTTTACTTCGATGCACCGGAAAGGCCTCTGACTAGGAGAGGGATTCTATCTATAGTTTCTTCTCTGTTCGATCCTTTGGGTCTAATTTCTCCAGTCTATCTTACTGCCAAACTGCTCTTGCAAAAATTATGTAAGTCCCAAATAGGCTGGGACCAGCCTCTCAACGAGCCATACATGTCTGCGTGGCTAAATTGGGTTAATTTTATGAGTCAGATAAGTCATGTTACGGTAGCTCGGAGTATCAAGAAGAAAATCGACGAACCCGACGCGAAAGTAGAATTACATTTGTTCAGTGATGCTTCAGAGATTGGTTATGGAGCAGTTGCGTACGCACGGGTCAGTTATTCGAGGGAACCACCATACTGCATCTCGTTGTACAGCAAGTCTAGGGTAGCACCTATCAAACAAGTCACTATACCGAGGCTTGAGATGGCGGCAACGGTGTTAAATGTGAGGCTTAGTGAAGTCTTAAGGAGAAGTTTGCCTAATTTTTTCTGCAAAGTAAACTTCCATACAGATTCCATGATAGTGTTATACTATATTAAGGATATCGAGAACCGATATCGAACCTATATAACCAACCGCCTCGCTGTTGTGCACCAGTATACAAAGGTTGAACAATGGAGTTATGTAAAGTCGTCACAGAATCCAGCTGATTGGACCTCGAGAGGTATACAAAAAATGAATGATCTTGAATCTTGGTTCAAATGTCCTACTTTACTGCATGGCGAATTTTGTATAACAATCACTGACGATATTGAGTTTAGAAAAACTGCTGTGGTTAACTTGAGTAGTATAAAGTCCAACATGTCACCTATTCTCTCTTATTATTCCGAGTGGTTGAAATTAGTCAGAGCTGTAACCTGGCTTAGAAGGTTCATATAATTCCTGGTGGTACTTCGTTCACCGAGTCGTGAAGGATCCGTTCATCTAGGATGTTTAAAGGTCAAAGAGCTTGACATCGCTAAGCGTAAAATTTTAATGATGGTTCAGAAAGAAGTGTATAGAGAATTACTTAGTGAATTTAAAAACAGCAGTAAAGTAGTTAGTCACAATGATCTGAAGGGTTTATCACCGATAATGCTTGATGGGTTACTCTGCGTTGGAGGTCGACTAAGTTACTCAGATTTCCCAAATGCCTTTAAACATCCAATAATTTTACCCAGTCGACACTTAGTGACGGAAATGATAAGTAGACATTATCATAAGGAACAAGGGCACACAAGAACGTCCCAAGTACTGACCACGATTCGAAAAAGCCATTGGATAATAAAAGGAACCAGAACGGTTAGGAGAGTGATAGGAAAGTGCGTGACATGCCGACGGTTTACGATGAATACAGGACAACAATTGATGGCGCCGCTTCCAGCCTGTAGAGTTCAACAAGGCTGGTATAGCTTCTCAGCGGTAGGAGTTGACTACTTTTGACCCCTTTTAGTCAAAAGACGAAGATCACTAGAAAAAAGATATGGATGTGTATTTACTTGTTTGCAAACACGAGAAGTACATATTGAAATGACATATAGTTTGAATACTGACTCATTTATAATGTCCTTATTACGTTTTATTGGAAGAAGAGGGAAACCTGCAGAAGTTTACAGTGACAATGGGTCAAATTTCGTGGGTGCGGTCTCTGAATTAAGGAGATTTGTGCAACAGTTGAATCAGCAGAAGATAAATAAGGAACTGTCAGCTAGGCAGACTCAGTGACATTTTAACCCGCCCTCATCCAGCCACAGGGGTGGAGTTTGGAAAGGGTGATTAAGTCTACACGCCGAGTGTTATTGTTGATAACTAGAGAGAAGACTTTAACCGATGAAACCTTAGGCACTTATTTGGTTGAAATTGAAAGGATATTGAACGATCGACCCTTAACTCCGGTTGTCCAAGATGCTAACGATAAACTAGCCTTATCGCCAAACAGTTTGTTATTGTTGAGAGAATGTAACGGAATAGTCGGAGAAGGTAGCATCAGAGATAAATACGATAAATGTTGGAAACAGGTTAATCACCTTGCTAATGTGTTTTGGAAAAGGTGGTTAAGAGAATATTTACCGTCTCTACAAAAACGTCAAAAATGGTTAGTTGAACACCGCAATCTTCAGAAAGGAGATATAGTGATCGTGGCTTCGGACATATCGACCCTTGGAAAGTGGCCCTTAGGAGTAGTTGAAGATTGTGAAATAGATGACGACGGAAGAGTTAAGACAGTTGTTGTTCGTACGAATAGTGGATTAGTTAGAAGAGATATACGTAAGGTATGCCTCCTTGAAGGCTCGAGTTAGTTCCTCGTATTATCAATGTGGGTAGGTCGAGTAGGCGTACTGTTGTAAGTCCTACTCGTTCCTACAGTGTGATATGTTATATAATGAACCATGACCATAGGCATCAAGGTAGCTTGTGTGGTATGGAGGGATTTTGGGGGCCGGCGTAAGATATGTTTTGAATGTTTTATGTGTGTGTGAAAATCCCTCCATGTATATACTTGCACTTTGTTCCTAGTGATCCATTTAAATGTACATTGTCAACTTTTTGATTACATTTGAATTGTTAATATTTGTATTTTATTATAGTTTTTATTTTTATTAC